TTTGGTCTCCAAATGAAATGGTCAGCAACAACAATTGATATCATATTTTCGATATTTAATCAAAAATTCAATTTAGAAGAAGCTGCTTCCCAACACATCATTCCAAAATTTTTACGGCATTTAGATTTTAACATTGAGTTATTGCCAAATGACAAAAAATTGGGACAGCTATTAATGTTACTTGTTACGAAACACTCCAAAGATTTTATGGAATATTTGGAAGAAATTAAAGTTATCGCTGAAAAAAGCAAGTCTTTTATTAAAAGAGGAGTTTTAATGCAGATTACAAATTTGATGAAGAAACAAGATAAAATCTAACAAAGAATTGGAATGTCAATCGTAATATTAAGCCACTGAAGTAGCACAAAGAAGTGAACATATATTTATCTGAATAAATAGTTGTTTAGATGTCATTTACCTCACAATAAAAAAATCACAAGCGTTTGCTTAATATCTCATAATCATAGTCGTCGATATATTCTGGTTCCACACATCGACTGGGAGAAATTTCGTCTATTTCATACCTATACATCATATGTTTAAATTAAACTTCAAAATTTTTCACAATAAACGAGGGAACAAATACTTTATTTACCCGAGGCGGTTACAGTAGAAATTAAACGCAGCTGTGTTTTCTGAAATTCAAATAATGCAATAAGCTAGTGAGCTAAATGAAAGAATTTTTGCAACGAATTTAAATTAATCATAAAAATACTTTTGAAAGTAGTTAGCATGCTTTTCTTCATTCCCCAATATCTTCCTATCGCTTCCATTGTATTCATCATAAATGTACCTAGTCCTTTGTTCCTTGCTTCTTCAGCTAGATGAATTTCATAACTTAAAAAAAAAAAAAAAAAAAACCATTAAAAGAGAATAAAAATAAATTAATACAGTAATAAATAATATACTGTATCAGGTATTATATGAAAGTTAATATACCAATATATTGTTTCTATTTTCCGATCATCGTCTGCCATGGTTTCTTCGAAAGTAAATTGAAACATAATAAATCCAATTGGATTTCCAATAATAACATTATTATTAATTGTGTAAACTCGTCTAGCAATAAGATATCGTGCACCGGCTTCACTTAATTCTTTCAATTTATTTGATGGATTCCATCCTAAACTTGAGTTCTCATAACTATAAAGTTGTAAATACACTTTAAAATTACATAATACATGTATATCATAGAAATGTTAATCGCCTATCGATTCCGAGAAATCTCTATAGCAATAGCGATAATGGGACCCATCAAAAATTGTCAGAATCAATATGTAAATCCCTCCATATTTTCCTAAATAATCAGCGTAGTCGGAACCGATTAAATCTATTAACATTTCTATGTGATGAATTATATAAAAGATTTACAATTCTCTTATGTTTGATTGTAATAAATGAAATGCCCAGCCTTGTAACGTGTTAGGAATATTCGTGACTGGGTAATACTCGACGTGTATATTAAAGCTTAGTATGTAAAAGGTTATACATTAATATAGATTATAAAATAATTATAATTGCATAAAGAGAAATTCTTACTCATCACGATCATAGATTGCTGGCAGACCAAG